TTGTTGCTCACTAGCTTCTGTAACAGAGGATTAAAGCACTTAATGATCCTAAGGACAATATTAAGATGATGGCCACCAGGACAGTCTTTTTTATTATTTAAATCAAGTACTTTGGCTTTACTCCCCTTCTTTTATTTTTTAAGAGAAAATTTCAAATGATTCTGACATCTTGTTCCTTCAGATGGATCAAAGCTCAGCAAAAATTCCAGTGGTACAAATCAGCATTTTTATATATTTTTATACTTGTATATATACACACATGAGAGCAAGAGATATTTACATATGTATATGTATTTTGTCATTAACTACAGTGGGAAATAGCTTCAAAATTGCAAAAATTCTTTGAAGATGGAAAAAACTATTCCCCCCACTTCCCTCTCTTCAGGTGTAGTTTTTCTGTCCAAAAGGCCACAACGCCAGCTGAAAGCAGAAAATTGCTTTTCAAGAAGGGCAAATCTACATTTCCAGCTATAGATTAGACAATGTTTCTTAAAAGGAAAAACTATATACGTGCTTAAGATTCAACAAACATCAGTGCTGCTGATATTTTAAGACTCCCCAGCAGCTCTCACCATTAACAGGAAATGTACCCAGACTTCAACTGTTCTACTCCCAGCTTTTAGGGCAGAAACCTTCTTTTGTACCTTGGCTCTCTGGGTTTTTTGGAAATGCCAGTGTTTCTCCTCTCCCTCTCCGCTCCAGGAGGTAGCATTGGAATCTACTCTGGTGTAGATGTCCCTGTATTGACCCTGCAGAGTCATTTGCTGGAACTTCTTTGCAGTATAACCCAGCTATTGACTTCAAGTTCTCATCAAACATTTTGCCTGGTGTATCCAGGCACTGTTGTACAAGTCAGCCTGCCAAGAGGAGCAGCGTTTCTGAGGTATGACTGCAACAGTATTTGGTTTTAACCTCCATTCAGCATCTACTCTTTTGAGGGGGAAGGGAAAATGAGCTGACAAGCAGACATGGTCATTTTAAAACAGAGATATTTGAGGCCGATCTAGAAACTATTAAGTAAGGAAAAAAAGAAATTCCCTTCCTCTCTATGAGATTTTAGTAATCAAAAAGGCCCCCCAACATATCATCCCCTATCAAAACCACAAAAAAATGCAGGAACCAGCCCACTGTTGTGGGTGAACACTTCTGGGTCACACACTTATCAAAACAGATTTTCACATGAGAACTAAAAACTCCCGGCACATGGAGCAGCGGAGGAATATGGGTGAAGCAGGACGCCAGGGTGGCCACCACTCGAGGCAGAGCACAAAGCAGGAGGTTTTGAGCATCGTTACTACTGCAGACTACGGGAGCACAAATGGGAAACTCCCTGGGACAAGAAACAGCCTAGGCCAAGTTGAGTCCCATCCTTACTATGATCCCGAACTGGGATGTCTCAGTTGCTCCACCCTGCCCTAGGGTTTGGAATGTGTGTGTAAAACCAGAAATTCCCAGGGTTTCTCTAGTGCTCTTTCTGCCAAATCTAATCTTAATTCAGAATGAAAATGCTCTTAGTGCTGCGCCTGCAGAGGGTTATCTCAGAGCTTTGGCAAGTGTGGACCAGAAAAAGCTGCTGCTTCCTTAGAAAGAGGCCCCTAGTAGTATAAGAATGACCCACCAGGGCCTAATGAAAGGAGGAATCAATCACAGAGGGGAGGGACCTCAGGCCCTGGCAGCAACACAGCAGCAGACCTCAGGCACTGCAACGAAGCTGGGCCCTCCTGAAGGTCTGCGAATCCACCAGGCACAACCAAGGTCTGGACGCATCAAGGAGGACCCGTCTTTGCTCCCCCAGCACTTACAGCTGCTCTGAGGATTTCTCGGGGAGGGAAATGCAGATCTGCAGGGAACAAAGCATGTGGATGAAGCAATAGCTTTTCTTGGGATGTTGCCCTCGCAGGAAGCAGTCTTCTTCTTTGAGGGTTTATGCCAGTGACTGCAGGTGAAGGGCTGGTGGGTTCTGAAACAACAGTCCTTATCCTTCTATTTGGGAACCAGAGGCTGCCTTTTTATTGGCAGAGAAGCTTTCCTAATCCCTTCCTTGGCCTTCTGTCTGCTCACCACCATTATCTGTCCACACTATTGACTTTACTACCAGGGCAGTGACCAGGCTCACTGGGGCCTTTGCTCTGTGCTGCCCTTGATGTAACCAGAGCCGTCACCAAACAGAAGTGCTAAGCACAGTCCATCATGTAAGGCCTTTTTTGTCCTTCCAGCAAACTTCTTGGCATTTCTTCATTTCATGAACTTCAGCAGGGCTGTACAGCATCCCCAGTGGTCTCCAGGTCTCCATTTGCACTTCAGTAGAAGTCCATCACTGCTACTTACATCCCCCTCACAAAGTGGCAAAACAAGAGGGGAGAAAAAGCCCAGACTCTGCATCTCTCTGTTCAGATCTCTCGTAAAACCCTCTCACCACAAGACCTGGGCACTCCCTGGTCATTCGTGTAACCACAATGAACACCCTGTTGAAGCTGGGCAGCTTCCATCCCTTGCAGCCTAGTGGAGAAGGGATGGAGCTATAAGAAATGACTGACTCCAAGGGACCCATGGAAGAAGCAGAGAGGTGGGCTGAATACCTGATCCTCGCCAGGAATATTCTTTCTTCCCAGGATTCACCTCCAAGAGACCATGGAACAGCCTGCTTTCTGCTCCAGCACTCATGCACTACTTGCCTGGTTGCCATTGAATAGGCCCATGGTGTCACTCTGTCCCCAGATCACCCACCCTGATACATGGATGGTTATTTCCTCCCAAAACAGAAGCTGTCACTTCCCGTGGGCCTTCCAATGGGCCCGGCTCACTGCTGCCCACCTTGGCGGTGCCACATGGAGCTGCACAGCCAGGCTCGGGGCATTTCATCCTCGACAAAGGAGACAAAGCAGCCCCAAAGCAGCATTTGCTGAGGCAGCTCTCCTGCTTCCACCCACTGCTCCTCCTCACCACTGTCACTGCCCCCACAGGCACCGCTCCTCAGGATGCGGCAGGAGCGCTGGGACCAGCAGGACGCCCGGTGGCACATGTGGACACATCAGAAGGTTCTCAACACAGCTACTTCCACAAGCACCACACTAACCCACCCCGAGAAAGGCCCAAAGGCACAAGGGTGTCTTGGCAAGCAGCGGCCCCGCCAGCTCGCAGCTCTGGGGAGCCCCGGAGGCCTCAACAGGCAGGTCTGGCTGCACAACCGGCCGGGGGCAGAGCACAACTTCTCTGAGGAAATGCAGAGCAGGCACCAAACCCCCTCAGGAGAAAATGGGAAGGGCAGCAAGCGACCTCTGCCGAGGAGGGGAAGCATCAGCAACACGCGCAGGGAAGGTTTAACTGAGCTGGGATCCCCGGAACAAAAGACACGCGTGTTTGGAGTCACAGCAGGCTTCCCGTGGCCTCGCCACAGGCAATCCCTGTGGAGTCCCACACAGCACCAGCCCGGGACCCCGAGATGCAGCCCCGCTCTGCCTGCTCCCAGCTCCCTTTCCCAACCCTGGCCTCAACAGGGTCCGGACATGCCCCAGGGCTCAAGCAGGATCTCTCTGCCCTCCCTTGCAGTATGATCACGGTCAACTTCTCCGTGGTGCTCACGAGCTGGTCCTCTGCAAAGTGACCTTTCCCTGTGCCAAGTATCTCCCAGCATCAGGGCCCTTCTTTCCCCGGCCCTGCCACAACCCAGCCATGATCTCAGACTTCCCAGTAAACCTTTATCCATCTGTTCCCCTTTGGACTTTTGCAGCTCAGACAGGCAGCCCACGCAGCCCCAGACCCCTGTGCCAGCTCGGCACCTCCCTCAAGACGATGCCCAGAAGGAGCCCCGGGGAGCCAGCCCGGCATCTCCGGGCATGTTGGAGCGGCATCCAGGCAGAAAAACAAAGCCCGGCCACCCCCTGCGGCAGTGCCCTGCAGCCCCTACCAGCACAGGGCACTTGCACGCTCCGCGTGGAGAGCTGGTTGCAGCCTCTAAGGAGCAGTTCTGCTCTCGCCACATAACTTTACACACAGACACACGCGCATGGAGAGCCTGCGCTGCGCCTACAAAGGAAGCTGCACATTCATCCACGTCCAGGCTCCCGGCACGGCGCCCAAAGGGATGGCTGAGGCGGCCAGAGCGACCCTGGCTGGGTCCCTGTGCAGCAATGAGGGGGGCCCAGAAAGCCCCTCACCCCGTTTCCGTCCTTCCAGCCCATCTAAGTCTGGCAAGAAGCAGGGGGATCCTGTACACAACTTTTTTCAAGCTGCCAGGCAGAAGAATCCCAGTCCTTCCAAGGGAGTGTCGGTAAATCATCATTACATCCGACAACGCAACCAGAAGAATTAACCCTTTGGTAGTCCTCCCAGTCCCCAGGAAAATAACAATAACAACAGTAAATGCAGTAACAGCAACAATAATAAAAGCTCACAGAGTAGAGAACATGGCAGGCAGCGTGTGGTGGAATTGCGTGCATGTAGATACATACACAGAGCGAGCCAAGCATGCGTGTAGCAAAGCGTGTCTCAAACACATGAAGAACATGCAGCCATGCACACGCCTGCCTTCCGCGCGTGTCCCTTAGCCCTTCCGGCGCTTCTCCCGTGTTTTGGAGGATGGTGGAGGAGATTTCCAGGTACTCGTGCCCCCCTCCCCATGCCCATCGCGCGGGGCCGGAGAGCGGCATTTCCACGCGTAGCAGCACAAACTCCCGCGCTCCTGGTGCCTGCAAAGGGTGTCCGTGCGGAGGGCAGCCGCAGAGGGGGAATTGCCCATGCGGGTGCAACATCCACGCGCTCCCCCAGCCCCCTGCACAGGCTGGTTGCTCCTCGCCCCCATGCCCGGGGGCTACCCTGGCCTGGGGCGCTCCCTGCCTGCCAC